AACCACTGAGACTATGGCCCCTAGCTGCCCTTCAGGTCTGGAACTGAACCCACACCTGTGGTTTCCAGCCAAACAAAAGACATGCATATGAGTTGAACATTTATCTGAGGTAGATACACTCCTTGGAAAGAACAGTCATGGAGGAAAGAAGGGCTGCTTACACACAGGAGACAGCTCAGGGGGCAGGAGTGCATGGAGGGATGGACACTGGGAAGAGGTAACTATGAGGAGGAAGTGGGAGGGCAGCTGTTGCATTGTGGTAAATTGTGGTCAATGTCATGAGACAAAGTGTATGTGAACCGCTGTGAACTGGAAAGTGAATTTGCTCTGTAAATCTTCACCCAAATCACAATTTAAAAATAAGAAAGAAAAAAGTGGCTCCTCAAGAAGCATTTAAAAAATTCTTCATGCCACAAATCCTCAAGGAGTTCTCTTAGAACTTAAACTTCAAATTGTATTCAGGATATGCTAGCTAACAGTGTTAGGCCAGAATTGTCTCAGGGTGTCTTGTTCACAGTGGTGACAAGTTAAAGAAGAAATGTAGCATGATTGAGAGCTAGAGATTTTATGTGTAGTCTACACTCTGAAGCTACCTTTGCTGCCTTGAGAATGGGGATAAAAACCAGTTGCCCTGAGTTGACTTCGACTCATGGCAACTTCATGTATGTCGTAGTGAAACCGTGCTCCATAGGGTTCCTAAGGCTGAGTTTTCGGAAATAGATCACCAGGCCTTTCTTCAGCGACACCTCTAAGTGGACTCGAAGCACCAACGTTTTGGTTAGCAGCTGAGCACATTAACATTAGTACCACCGAGGGACACCTGAGAATGGGGATACATAGCAGGTAATCCATTTGCCAGATTTGTGGTAAAGCTTTCAGAGAGGACAACACTTAATCCTCAAGTGTTTAAATAAACATTACTGCCCTGAGCTTTAGAAAACATGAATAAACATAGTTCAGCCGACTGGCAGGTTTTTCTCCTATGAAAGCAAATGACATGAAATCAACTTGTATGTAGGTTAGTTACAGTAAATACAATAGGAAATATTTCTCTCCCTCTCAATAGGGTCTGGCTCTCATCAACGGGACGCAGATGATAACCTCCCTGGGCTGTGAAGCTGTAGAGAGAGCTAATGCTATTGCGCGGCAGGCTGACATCGTGGCGGCCCTGACCCTGGAGGTGCTCAAGGGCACCACCAAAGCCTTCGATACTGGTCAGTGCAGTTCTTCCCTTTACTTGCTGCTCATTCAGCCAGAGTTGGTGGGGTGGGATAGTCAAGGTCTTTAGACATGGATGGTAGGGTAGGTGGTAGGGAAGAAGAGAGAAAACTCAAATGCATGTGCTGTGCTCAATATCACTACAGCTTCATCTAAGTCATGCCGCCTTTGATCCTTGAAACGGTTATGTTTTACAGACAGAAGCTGAACCTGAGAGTTCAATGACCTGCCCCAGATCACCCATGTCCAACTCCTATCAAACTATGTATTAGAATCTGTTCGTGGGATTTTAGAACTGGAGTAGGATTAGGGGTGATCCCCATTAGAAAACTGGAAGAGAAAAAATGTAGAAGTGATGCCTTATCTTGAGTGCAGTGAACTTGAAAGACTCCGTACTCTTAGCTCCCTCATAAGAAGCAGGAACAGAAAAATTACTTAGTTAAATCATGTCACCCTAGAGCTCTCTCCCACCATCAGCCTACATCTCTTAAGGGGAGGGACACTGTCTTGAGCTGAATTCCCAGTAGGTTCAACACATGGTTTGCACTCAGATATTTAAAGCAGAAAGAAGGAAGTCGAAAAAGAGAAGTTTTTATAAGTTTCTAAATTTGAGTGGTGGTTAAGGACGCCTAGACGTTTCAGGCCCATGTCAGCAGCTAAGAGACTCCTGAGCCATCACTGGTAATTCCTTCCAAATGTAACAATTGCTCAGGCTTTTTCTCCTTCATCAATTCTAGACATTCACGCTGTTCGCCCTCATCGTGGGCAAATTGAGGTTGCTTTTCGTTTTCGGTCACTCTTGGATTCTGATCATCACCCATCAGAAATAGCAGGTGCGGACATGTTCGTATGAGTAAGCTCATTTGGTTACAGTTAGTGAAAGAGTTAGTAACATCTCCCTTTCTTATCCCTTCTGCCTCTTCCACAGAAAGTCACAGGTTTTGTGATCGTGTACAAGATGCATATACCCTGCGCTGCTGTCCACAGGTAAAAACAAAAACTGACAAATTCTCCTTTCCTCCCTGCCCCCAAAATTCAAAGGGTTTGGAATAGAAAAGAAGATGTTAGAGAATCATGCAGTAGGTCAATTATCACACAAATTTCTTTATTGTTTCCATTAAAAAAATGGGTATACCATAACTCCATTTACAATTCTGTAGCTTCAATTCTTTATGGCAAATGGTTTCTTTCCTCTGGAAAGCCTTGCTCAACCCCCTCATCAGAGGAATCCAATAGTCAACTTGCTGTGTTAGTTTAGTGCCTTAATTGGTTAAAATTCATAGTAACAACATCGCTTTAGTCAGTTAATGGAGTTTTACTGGTACTCTCTGTTAGACAGAACTTGATCCAGCCTGTCAGGAAAGTTTTACGGGAAAGGCTAATTGTATCATTTCCAAATTCAAGTGCACAACCCTGGTTGTACCTTATCTACATTTGACAGTCAGACATAGATCATTATAAATGAATATGTAAGGATTAACTTTAAATAAAAAATGCAGATGATCTGAGGTGGCATTAGGCACCAGTATTGGCAGATGTCACAATTCATCACCATATGGCCATGTGATCTGACACTGGCAATTAGTTGAATGAAAAATTGTCGAGGATCTTAATAATGAAATAAAAGTTGAGCATGTGCCCAGTCCCAGTCTGTAGTGTAACAGTGAGACCTCCCTAATGTAAAAGCTCCCATTTCCTTTCGGTCAGCAAGTTCTAGTCTAGCGAGCTTATTAAAAAATAAATGAAAATCTCTAAGGGGAAGAACTGACTGATTATCTCTACAGTAAGAATAAATCCCAGTTTCAAACCTCCCTGATATTCTATGAAGGACCCCTGGTGGTGCAGTGGTTCAGTGCTCAACTGCTGGCAGAAAGATCTGTAGTTCGAACCTACCAGCGGCTCCGACAGACAAGGGGCAGTCTGCTTCCACAAAGATTTACAGCCTTGGAAATCCTGTGGGGCGATTCTACTCAGCCCTACAGGGTTGCTGTGAGTCAGAATCGACTTGACAGCAATGAGTTTGGTTTTTATTGGAATATTCTATGTGACAGACACCCTTTTAAGTATCATCCTGTGTTAACTCATTTAATTAACCCAGTTATGAGATGTTGTTATTGTACCTGCAGTCAAGTTGACTCTGACTCATGGTGATCCAATGCACAATGCAACAAAATGCTGCATAGTCACCATGATTGGCTGGGAAGATAATGTTCTGTTGTGACCCAAGGATTTTCATTGGCTGATCTTTAGAAGCAGACCACTAGGTGTTTCCTCCTAGTCTGTCTTTGAAAGCGTCATAGCAGCATACACAATCCACATCTCCACTGGCAGACAGGTGGTGTCTGCATGTGAAGTGCCTTGGCTAGGAATCAAACTCAGGTCTCTCACATGGGAGGTGAGAATTCCATCACTGAACCACCACTGCTTCAACTATGAGATAGGTACTCTTTTTCCTACTTTGCACTTGGGGAACTGAGGCACAGAAGTAACTTGCCCAAAGTCACAAGTACTTCCTTTACTTCTAGGAGAATCTAGAAGACAGGCAGTGCTTTAGAGCCTGTGACTGTCTTGAGGAATAGTATGAAGTAGTTCCCTTGTTCATGAGTACCTGCCAGCACAGTACCTTCATATTTCACACACTTAACTTCCTTAGATAATAGCTTCCAGCTGAGTATTTCCATGTGTCATATCTAACAGTTCATTTGGATTATCTTATTTACCTGTCAGAAGCCATAAGATAAGGTCTATTGTCTGTTTTCTGTTTCAACTATCAATGTAACTTTCCCAAGTCCTATTAAGAACAATAATTTAATCTGCCTATATCTAAAGTTGGCATTTTTCTTCTATACCATGTTGTATTGTATAAATTGATCTAACGTGGATCCATATGATAATGAGTTTATTCTAATTTGTTTCAGTAAGCATTCAGAAGATCTGAATAACAAAATTATCTTCAAATTCCAAATAAAAAGACTGTGATTTTCATGGTTATACCTACAAAGCACTTTCTGGGAAAGGACTGAAAATGTTATTTTATAAGGATATTGGTACCCGAGAATACACTAAGGGACTCAATTGGTCACATATATTATTTTGATTGTATTTTAGATCCATGGTGTGGTGAATGACACAATCGGTTTTGTGAAGAACATCATTACTACAGAACTTAACAGTGCAACAGATAATCCTGTATCCTTTGATTGTTTGCTAAATTGTAATTACAGGTAGTCCCCAATTTACAACAGGGGTCCATTCTGATGACCCTGTTGTAAGTTGGTCTGACCTAAGTCTAATATCTCTCTTTCCTTTTTTTTTTTTAACTTTTCATTATTATTGCCTTTTATTATCAATATCTTTATAAATTTGATCTTGTCATGGGTATGATAACATCATATTAATGATAAGATGTTCAAGAAATCCACTCATAAGGGTGGTTCGTTGTAACTCAAATATGGCATAAATTGGGGTTGACCTGTATAGAATTCCAGCTGGTAATTTTAATCTGGCAGGAGAGATTTTCTGTGCAGCGTCTCAGTTCAGTTATTCTGCTTCATAGACCAAGTACCCAAAGCTCAGAAGTTAAGGGGCTTTCTCCAGGTCAGAGCTGGTAAGTGGCAGAAACAGGCTTGTGAACCTAATCTTGGGTTCTGAGTCTAACATCTTGTGATTTCAATATTGGCCCATAAAAGATTAATGGAGGAATTCCCAGCTTTGGCTGAAATGTTTCATGAAGATAGTTGCCCTAAAACCTCCAATGAGGTTGTTAGTAGAAGGTTGAAAACAAGTGTAATTGGGTAGGCGTGCATTTATGCATACTTCCTGGTTGTAGTGATGCCATGATTCACTAAGTAAAAGGCAACATTTTAACACTTACCAAGGCATTGATTAAACAGTTATGGCCTACCCCATCCCAAATTTGTATTTCTGACACTGACTTTACTCAAGTCCAGGCTTACATATTTGTAATATGAGAGAATAGTAAGAGCATTTCCGTTTCGCAAAGATGGAGCTCTTCTTTCCTTAATGGAGTGGCTTGTCCCAGGGCCATCTTATTTTTGCTAATGGAATGTTCTCTGATGGCTTACTTCCCCGAAGTTGATGTGATTGGGTAGGAGTCACACTGGCAAAGTCTTCACAGAGACAATACTGCCTTTGAAGACCATAAGATCTCCTAAGAATCCATTTTTCCTATTTGATGTCTCTACCTCCATTCTTAACGCTGGAGAAAGAGCTGACTTGGAAGCCTGGGAACCTGGAGTTTATAGCCTGGGTCAGCAGTTGGTTGCACAGCAGCTGTAACCTCACAAGACGTTTTCAGTATGCTTTCTCTGCCAAGCCTGTTTCAGGTTGTATGGTTTATGTTTTCTCAGTTTGTTCTATAACTTGGTCAACTCCACACTAAGTAAACACGTTAGTATTGTAGGTCTTTGAATCACTAACCCACAAATAGAGTAGTAGTTTCCATAAATGCCATGCAGTCTTGTCTCAGGTATCAGTTCTTGCACTCAAAGATATCCATTCTGCACTTACATAATTTAGACTTGAAGGGTATCTTGCAGTTGTTGCTGTTGTTGTTATTTGCCATTAAGTCGGACCCGACTCATAGTGACCCCTCCTTGGGTTTCTGAGGCAGTATCACTACAGAAGTAGATTGCCCAACCTTCCTTCCGAGGAGTGGCTGGTGGGTTTGAACCACCAGCCTTCTGGTTAGCAGTCTTAGGCTTAGCCTTAGGCACTATGCTATGGGAGTAAAAATAAAATTACTGTTAAATCACTGAATATAGGGAAAATCCTAAATCCTCTGCCTCTCCTAGCAAAAATTTCTTTATTTTCAAACAAAAAGTCCTTTATTTTCTTAATTAAAGATTCTTTATTATTGAATGGATTTTCAATGCTCTGATATTTGGGGATTTTCCTATAATACTGGTATTCTCTGAAAGAATATTTTTCTCAGTTCTCTATTGCACTCTAGGGCACCTACTACTGTATTGTGATGAATACTATGAAAGTTAAATTCTAATCACTTTTAGTTTGAGAAATCAATAAACAAATGTGGAATAACTAGGGAATGATGTTGTCATTAACTACTGTCGAGTTGGGCCCCACTCATTGGAGACCCCACATATAATGGAACAGAATGTTACCTGTTCCTGCCCCAACCCTGTGATAAGTCGTGGATGGGACTGTTGTGATCCATCGAATTATCGTTGGCTGATTTTCAGAAATAGGTAACCAGAAACTTCTTTCTAGTGTGTCTTAGGAAATTCTGTTGAAATCTGTTCAGCATCATCTCAGCATGCACGCCTCCACTGATAAAGATGGTACCAGTCATAGGGTGGTGACTGCCCACACATCCGCGGTATGGAAGGCAAGAATTCTGCCATTGACCACCATTGCCCCATAGAGAACAATAGAATATGTTGAAGTTCTAAATTGCTTCAGAGATAATTTGCTACAGGAATCCAGATAATGGGAGACAGCCAATCCCCATTGTTAGGGCAGGTTCGTGGAGAAGTGCAAGAAGTAGGCCTAATAAAATCACCATTATACATTATACACCATTATACATTATACAGAAAAGAGAAACTCCAAACTTAACTAAGTTAATGAACACATGCATCTCCAACTCTTTGAAAGTCCAGACCTTTCCCACACACAGTGAATTCTTAGTTGTTGTTGTTAGGTGCCATCAAGTTGGTTACAAATGTGTACTTCAGGATAGATCTCGAAACGTTCTTTTTGACAATGAGTGCAACACCACTATTCCTCTTCAGTTTGAGTTTCCCAGCATAGTACTGCATGTTACTGTCTGATACCTATTTGAAAGGTAGTGAATATTCTTTAGCCCAAACCAAAAAACCAAAACCACTGCCGTGGAGTCAATTCTGACTCATAGCAACCCCCATAGGGTTTCCAAGGCTGCACATCTTTATGGAAGCAGACTGCCTCATCTTTCTCCTGTAGCAGGCTGGAGGTTCAACCCACAGACCTTTTGGTTAGCAGCCCAGTGCTTTAACCACAGCACCACCAGGGCTCCTTATTCTTTACCCCACCAGGTGAAAATTAGTTCTTTGGAACCAGGGTTGAGAACCTATCACTGCCTTTGGGTTGGTGCCTACTGGTTTAAGTAAAATACTGATAGAATGGAATTATACCTGAGGGTAGTAATTGTGAGGATCTATCAGCCATCATCTGCTGTGAACTCTGGCACAGGATTACTGATTAATTACAGGATTAATATTTTCCCAGAATGGATTCTTCCAGATGTATTGGTGGTTACTTGGCAGTGGAGTCTTCCATTTGGTAAATTTTATGGAGCACAAGCTCACAGTGCCCATTGGAAGAAACCAAATTTACTTTTAAACTGGTGTCCTGGTCTCTGTTCTTAGCTTTATATTATAAACTTTTTGAAGGCAGTCCTAAGCAAGCCATTAGTACAGTTGCGATGCTTGAGAATCTTCAGAGAGAGCATCATCTCATGTTCCTTATGTCTTTGGCGTCCAATCTTTAAGGTTTTCATGTCTCTTTTTGTCATCATCTGCTTGTGGGAACACTCCTCTCTTCTCTTCTCCCCCGCATTTGTACAAGGGCTACCACCCAATGTTAAAATGAGCAGCTTGGGAAGGGATTCAAGTATAACGTTACGTTCAACCTTAACCTACTTTGAAAGATGGTCTTTGCCAGTAGGGGAGAGACTATTTCTGGAGGAAACTTCCATGGTGAATACCCAGCCAAAGTAAGTTTTTTAGAATTGCTTCTGACTCTGGAAATATATTCCAAGATAGACTGACTGAATTGAGATTCTTTCAGGCCCTGGACTATTTGGCCATTGGTATCCATGAACTTGCTGCAATTAGTGAAAGAAGAATCGAAAGGCTCTGTAACCCATCCCTCAGCGAGCTGCCTCCCTTCCTGGTGGCTGAAGGTGGTCTGAACTCTGGGTTCATGATAGCCCACTGCACAGCCGCAGCCCTCGGTAAGGTCACTGTCCTTTTCCCAGAACACAAGCCTGCCTACCTACAGGCTTTCCTATTCTACTTAAGGTGGTACATTTTGTCTTCGAACAAGATCTACTTTCAAGAAATTTTTCACCACCTCCACTTTTATCCTAGCTTTCCTAATACAAATGCATCGGGGCTTTTGTTTCGTACTGTTTAGAAAAAGAAAAGTAAAAACTTGACGATGTTATATTGAAACATAAAGCAAAAATACCAGTTGCTGTAGAGTTGACTCCGACTCAAGGCGACTTCATGTGTGTCAGCGGAGAACTGGGCTCCCCAGACCTTTCTCCAAGATGCCTCTGTGTAGGTCCCAACCTCCAGCATTTCTGCAGCTGAGTACACATGGACTGTTTGCACCACCCACCAACTCCTATAGTGAAACAGTGATACAATAATGAGGTTATAAATTGATTCTTTCTCTATGGAAAGTAATTTTACATCACATGTAAATTTCATCTTTGTAGCTTTTTTCCTAATCTCAATTTGAAAACTATCAGAAGAAAAGAGACAAAGATGATTATAGTTAATGCTGAAATTTGGGTCAATCTAAATGATTGAACTTTGGATGTATTTCATTAGATATACCAAAAAATATATAAGGGAGCCCTGGTGGCACAATGGTTAAGCATTTGGCTGCTAAACAAAAGGTTGGTGATTTGCTCCTGTGAAGATTTCAGCCTAGCAAACCCTATGGGGCAGTTCTGCTCTGTCCTACAGGGTTGCTATGAGTGAGAATCGACTCCATGGCACACAACAACAAAAATAAAGATTTTATTACAACATACAAATATGTTTATAAGATACAGAATAACTTCAATGAAAACTGAGCGTCAATATAGGTGATTTCTGTCTCAAGATTGTAAGGAACAGATTGTAAGTAACACATCAGAACAGTGCACAACAATACCATGAGGTAAGTATCAGTATTATCTGCATTTTACCTGCAGGTCTGGGAGGTTAAATGGTTCACCCAATATTGCACAGCCTGTAAGGTGTAGAGCATGATTCAAACCCAGAGAGTTTGGCTCCTGAATCTATGCTCTCAGTTTGGTCAATTAATGAAGATCTCATTTAAATCAACTTAAAGCTCTGGTGGTGTAGTGCCTGAGGCATTTGACTGCCAACTAGAAGGCTGGTGGTTCAAACCCACCAGCCACTCCTTGGAAGGAAGCTTGGGCAATCTACTTCCGTAGTGATACTGCCTCAGAAACTCAAGGAGGGGTCACTATGAGTTGGAAATGACTCCACGGCAAAGTAGAGGAGCCTGGTGGTGCAGTGGTTAAGCACTTGGTTGCTAACCAAAAGGAAAAAGATGGTGCAGTCTGCTTCCATAAAGATTTACAGCCTTGGAAACCCTCTGGGGCAGTTCTGCCCTGTCCTCTAGGGTCACTCTGAGTAAGAATCAACTAGACAACAGTGACTTTGAATCCCAAAATAGAGTTGCCAGATATAACATGTAAGAATACAATTAAATTTGAATTTAAATGTGAATTATTTGGGACATATACGAAAAAATTATTTGTTGTTTTTCTGAAATCCAAATTTAACTTGGTATCCTGGATTTTATTTTGCAACTCTATCCCTCCCAGGATAACATGGTGGTTAAAAGCGTGGACTCAGGATCTGAATCAGGTCTCCTTATCGTAATCTGAGCAGGTCTCTTAATCTTGCTGATCCTCAGCTTGTTCCTTTGTAAAATGGGGATAATAAACTTGTGTGATGGGGCTGTTATGAAGATTAAATGAGTTAATGTTTGAAGCCTTGGAATTGTTCCTGGCACGTTGTTGTTACGTGCTGTTGAGCTGGTTCTGACTCCCAGCCACCTTATGTACAACAGAATGAAACGCTGCCCCGTCCTGTGCCGTCCTCACAATCCCTGCTGTGCTTGAGCCCATTGTTGCAGCCATTGTGCTAATCCACCTCATCGAAGGGCTTCCTTTTTTTCGCTGACCCTCTACCAAGCATGATATTCTTCTCCAGGCACTGGTCCCTCTTGACAACATGTATATGAGAGGCATAGTCTTGCCATCCTTACTTCTAAGGAGGATTCTGGCTATACTTCATCCAAGACAGATTTGTTTTTCCTTCTGGCAGTCCATGGCATATTCAATATTCTTCACCAACACCGTAATTCAAAGGCATCAGTTCTTCTTTGGTCTTTCTTATTCATTGTCCAGCTTTCACATGCATATGAGGCTATTGAAAATACCATGGCTTGGGTCAGGCACAGCTTAGTCTTCAAAGTGACATCTTTGCTCTTTTAACACTTTAAAGAGGTCTTTTGCAGCAGATTTGTCCATTGCAATATGACATCTAATTTCCTGACTGCTGCTTCCATGAATATTGAATGTGGATCCAAGTAAAATGAAATCCTTGACAACTTCAATCTTTTCACTGTTTATCATGATGTTGCATTTTGGTCCAGTTGTTAAGATTTTTGTTTTGTTTACATTGAGGTGAGATCTAATCCATACTGAAGGTTGTAATCTTTGATCTTCATCAGTAAGTGCTTCAAGTCCTCTTCACTTTCAGTAGGCAAGGCTGTGTCCTCTGCATGTTGCAGGTTGTTAATGAGTCTTCCTCCAATCCGGATGCCACATTCTTTTTCACATAGTCTTCTTCATATAGTCCAGCCTGGTACATGGTAAGCAATAAATAAACATTAGTTGCTATTAATAATATTTTTATTCATAACCTCCCTCACCTAAGCCCCTCACTAAAACTTAACACAGAATACAAAGAAGAGCCACGGAACTCATCTTTTCCTCTGACCCAGTACAGTGAAGCCTGTAAGAGCTGGAACTTGACGGGACTAACTTGTTTTTCCACGTCTCGCAAGTTTTTTCCACCTTTGACAGGGTGCAGTCACCACTTACCTATTTCTCCCTTTAGTGGAAACTGTTTGAGTTTTCCTTCTCTGACAGGTTGCTGCCTTACACACATTCTGGCTTTAGCAGATTTCACTGTATCTTCTATTCACTCATTTACCTGCTTATTACAATACTCCTTTGAAGGGTAGAGACTTCTCACATTAACATGGTGGGGGGGAGGGGGGAAGAAAGTCATTGATTTCTAGAAAATATTATGAGTACCAGGAAGGCGGATTCGAAGGTATTAGCTTCCCAAAGTTGCCTACTGAAGTTGTTCAACTTGCTTTCATTATAATGAAACTACAGTTTTCTTTTACCCACTTGTCTTTATCTTTCTGAACATGCCTCACCGAACTCTGCTGACCATCGACCTCAGTTTAGAGTCCATGGAAGTGGAAGTTTCAGGTGCTAAAACCCAGAAAGTCTTGGGCAAACCAGGATGAACTGATCACCCTAGATCATCTCAGGATGCAAACCCTAGTAGCAATAGAAACCAATTGAAACTTGATGCAGAGCCACTCTTAAAGTTAACGAAAAGAGGAGAAAAGATTCTTGGAGTTTGACCTTCCCTGGCTTCTGAAGCTGGGAGAAGGAACTCTGGAATCTAAGCCCTTGCTACTTAAAGTGTGGTCCTTGGATCAACAACATGGGTGTCACCTGGGGTTGACACACTGCATCTCAGACTCCACCTGAAAAATCATTACTGCCTAAGATTCTCCTTGTGATTAATTCCCAGGCACGTTAAAGTTTGGGGGGCACCAGGCTAGGCTGTGATGGATTCTCCCCTCCTTGAGATATCTTTGCACCATCAATCCTTTGCTTAAGCACAGAGTATGCTCATATGTCATCATCACATGGTCTGAACTGTTAAACCCTCTTGTCCAAGATCTGTGAGTCTAGCCTCAGTCCCCAAATGCCGCAACCAAATTCTCATTCCAGTTTCTCTGGTGACAGAATCAGTCAAATTATTTCCAAATACCTGGAAATGACTGTCATGTCTTTTTTCCCCCCTAGTCTCCCTGACATGTTAAACACTTGCATTGCTTTCAATTTGACCTTGTAATATTAATGGCCAGACTTTGTCTCACCTACTTTGGTCATGTTGTCAGAAGGGACTATTCCCTGGAGAAGGATATCATGCTTGGTAAAGTGGAGCGTCAGTGAAAAAGGGGAAGGCCATCAATGAGGTGGATTGACACAGTGGCTGTAGCAATGGGCTCAGGTGTAGCAAGGATTGTGAGGCTGGCACAGGGCCAGGCAGTGTTTCGTTCTGTTGTACATAGGGTTGCTATGACTCTGAGACAACTTGACAGCACCTAACAACAACAACAGCTTCCCATCAGGGGCAGAAGCAAGGTAAACATGGGCTTACTTGTGCTTACCTTGTTTCTAGGTATTCCATCCCTGTCAGGGACTGTAAATTTGAAAAGAGACTTTCATTCTGTTATTGTTGTTGTCATGTGCCGTCGAGTTGGATCTGACTCATAGCCACCCCTCCTTGGGTTTCCAAGGCAGTATCACTACGGAAGTAGATTGCCCCATCTTCCTTCCAAGGGGTGGCTGGTGGGTTTGAACCTCCAGCCTTCTGGTTAGCAGTCAAGTGCCTTAGGCACTACGCTACCAGAGCTCCCTTTTATTCTGTAGGAAGGTGCTATGGGGTTGGGAGAGAGATGCCAGCCGTACCTAGAAGCAGAATCTTTTATGTGGTGAAAAATGAGAAATTGTTCTTTACGGATTAGTGAGTAAACACAAGTTAGCCCACGTTTACCTTGCTTACTGGGTAAGCCGACGCTGCTTCCCATGCTGGTGTTAGCTGGGAACTCACAGTAGCTTTAGAATCTTTGTTACTTTAGGAAAAATAAATCCACCATCTTGCTTTTCCCAAAGTAACTTTGTATTCCCTGGTGCTTGGATAACAACCAAGAGCTGCTGGAGAGGGTGTTCCATGTTGTGGAGCACTCTGGGGACACCACGTGTCATTTTGTCAGTTTATCCCATTACAAGCATTACCTTGCTTGGTTTCTTTCAGTTTCTGAGAACAAGGCCCTGTGCCACCCCTCGTCTGTAGACTCTCTGTCCACCAGTGCTGCCACAGAGGACCATGTCTCCATGGGAGGATGGGCAGCAAGGAAGGCCCTCAGGGTCATCGAGCACGTGGAACAAGGTAACGCCAGCCAGCCCAGGTGCCCAGGCTGGATAATCAACTACTAAGCCTGTGGTTCTCAAAGTGGAATTCCCCACCGGCAGCAGCATCGGTGTTACCTGGGAACTTGTTAAGAATGCAGCTTTTCAGGCCCCATCCCAGACCTGCTGCATCAGAACGCCCAGGGAGGAGAGGGGAGCAACCTGGGTTTTAACAAGTCCTCTGTGTGATTCTGAAGCTCCGTGAAGGTTAAGAACCACTGAGAGGTACAGAGTTAATTAAGTCAGTGAATCAGCTGGTAGCCACTTCTTTTTTCTTAATGAGATTTTAAAACATTAAGTTATTGAAAGGTAAAGATACAATTTTTTCTTTATCTTTAAATATCTCTATTGAGATACGGTTCACATGTCGTAAGACTCACCCATTTGAAGGGTATTGTTCTGTGGTGTTTACTTGCACACGGTCGTCACAATTTTATTTAATTGCGCACGGTCATCACAGTCAATTTTATTCTTCAGCCATCACCTTCTCCCAACCTTGCCCAACCCCCTCCCAGCCCTGGGCAACCACTAATACACTTTCCATCTCTACAGATTCACCTATTCTGGACATTTCTTATAATTGGAGTCCTATAATATGTGGTCTTTTGTGCCTGATTTCTTTCACTTAGCATAATGTTTTCAAGGTTCATTCGTGTCATAGTATATATATCAGGACCTCATTCTTTTTAAGATTGAATAATATTCTACTGTATGCATAGACTACATTTTGTTTATCCATTTATTTGTTTGACAGACATTTGGGTTGTTCCCACATTTTGGCTATATGAGTAATGATGGTATGACTCATCCATGTACAAATTTTTATGTGGATGTATGTTTTCATTTCTCTTAGAAGTGTAATTGCTGAGCCAATTAATCATATTTAACTTTTTAAGGAACTGGCTATTTTCCAAAGCAACTGAACCCTTTTAGATTCCTACCAACAGTGTATGAGGGTTCTGATTTCTCCCCATCCTCACCAAACCCTTGTTATCTACCACAGTATCTTCTTAATTTTCACACTTGAGATGACTTCCCCATTGAAAACCTTGCTCTGGCCAAACACTTAAGGAATCATCTTTATTTAGCCTCATATCTTATACCCAATGCATCAGCAAGACAAGTCCTTCAGAAGACAGGGAATCAAACCTCTGTCATCTCCTTCTGATTGGTCTCTTTTCATTACTGTTCCTCTGTAGTCACCACACACAATAACCAAGCCTAGCTTTTTAACACACAATTTAGAGCATACTATGCTAAGGAGCTCTGGTGGCATAGTGGCTAAGCCATTTGACCACTAACCAGAAGGTTGGCAATTCAAACCCACCCAGGAAGACTGGGCAATCTACTTCTGTAAAGATTTACTGCCTTGGAAACCTGAAGGGGGTCACTATGAGCTGGAATTGACTTGATGGCAGTGAGCTTGGTTTGGAGTTTTTATGCTCCAGCTGAAAGTTTCCCAGTTATTTCCTATCACGTGAAAAAAAAGATTTTAAACAGAGATCAGATATAGATTGGGTAGTCTATCTGTTTTTCTCCCCTCACAATGTGAAACAAATCTGGCCTCTTGGTTTCAGGATATGAATGGGAGAATGGCAGATTTCCCTAGTGTAGACTAACGGGCAGCTTCTTGGGTGGTTTTTGGGTTCTGGTGGTGTAGCCAGGTAAATGTTTCGTTTCTCTCCTTTTCACCACTTGCTTTAGTTTCCTAGGGCTTCCCTAACAAATTAGCATAAAGTGAATGGTTTAAAACAACAGAGACTTACTCTCTCACAGTTCTAGAGGCTAGGCATCATCAGGTCCATACTCCAGCTGAAGGTGCTGGGGGAGAATCCTTCCTTACCTCTTCTCATCTTCTGCTGTCTCCCAGCAATCATTGGCGTCCCTTGAGTGCCTCACTCTAATCTCTGCCCTCTCTTCACATGGCTGCCTTCTCTCTGTGTCTCTCGGTATCTTCACCTCTTCTACGAGGACACCAATCATTGGATTTAGGACCCACCTTAAATCCAGGATGATTTACTCTTGACATCTTTAACCAGTTACATCTACAAAGACCATATTTCCAAATAAATAACATGATATTCTTAGGCTCTGGGTAGACATGAATTTTGGGAAGACACTATTCAACCCACTATGCCATTAAAGTTGCATCTAAAAGATTACAAAAGCAGTTTTAACAAGGCCAACAAATACCAGGGCAGCTTCATTCAGCCAATAGAGACCCAACAGCCTGTTAGTTGACTGGTGGTGACTTCAGTGTCATTTATTTTCCTCAAGCACAAAGTCAGCCTTTAATCAGCCATCCCCTGTGCATTTCTTGTTTTAGTGCTGGCCATTGAGCTCCTTGCAGCCTGTCAGGGCATCGAGTTTCTACGCCCCCTGAAAACCACCACTCCACTGGAGAAGGTCTATGACCTTGTGCGCTCTGTTGTAAGGTAAAGTTAAACACGTCCCTGGAACCCACCATTTCAGAAATGTGAACGTGGCAGTGGTTAATGTTTGGCTGGTATGCTTCCTCAACAGGCCCTGGATAAAAGACCGCTTCATGGCCCCAGACATTGAGGCAGCACACCGGCTGCTGGTAGAACAAAAGGCAAGTCGGCTACTTGGCTGATTTTCTTGTTTTTGGTTGTGATGGGAAATCAAAGTGTGGAGGGGACCATTGCCTTAATCTTTCATTTCTTTTTATTCCTTGTAAGTGAACAAAAAGGTACTTATGCATTTTGTAAGACTACTGAAAAGCCATTTGTTAAACTCTTCAGTGCCCCAGGTTGCACCCAAACCTTGAATATCCAAGCAGAAATGGATTTGTAATGGAGTTTTGGGACAAGTAATCAAGGAGAGAAAATGAATGATTCATCTCTTCCCCCATTCCCAAGAATGGCCTGTTTCATTCAAAAGTACTTCCTCTTTCTAGTGCTGAGATCATAACTACTATCACTGAGTCTAGGGGCTGCACAGACCTGGAGGGACAACACCCTTCCAGGTTTTTACAGGGTTATGAATCTGTGTACTGCTCTGGGTGTCCCTGCCTCCATCACATTGGGCGAGACACAGGTTCTCTTCATTGCTTATTTCCTCCGACTGTGTTGACCACAGACTTGACTAATAGATGCAGATGCCTAACAGGCTGTTCTGTTGCTGAATGGCACAAACAGTTAAGCACTGGGCTACAGAACCAAGAGTTTGGCAGTTCAAATCCACCCAGAAGTGCCTGGGAAGAAAGGCCTCATGGCCAACTTCTGAAAAATTAGCCATTAAAAACCCTTTGGAGTGCAGTTTTACTCTGAAATACACGAGGTCACTATAAGTCAAAATCAACTTGATGTCAGCTAGCAACAACATGTGTATATATGCCAAAACATATGTATGTGTCTATATTTTTAAGTTTTCAAAGCCTTTTGTCATAATTTGTAGGTCTTACTGTTCCCTAGAATCATTTGATTTCCCCTAGAATAGTTGCTCTTTTACTAGTGAATGATTTTCCCTTTGATCTTCACACCTGTCATTTATGAGCCTACCTTGCACACTTTGAGGGGAAGCCCTTGCCAGCTGCCAACTTGGGTGCTAGGAGAGAGATGTGTGAAAGCTGGGCCTTTGAAAGAATGCATTTTTCTAAGGTAATTAATACAAAGTCTCCTTAGCTGTCAACAGGCATCAGAAACAAAGCAACCGTAAGCCAAAAACAGGGTCTTAATTTAACAGGATTTTGTGCTTAAAAGAGAGTAGGTTTGTGGGTGGAGGTAAAAACTAAACAACTTCTCTAACTATCACGTATATAGTTAGACTCTGGGGGAGTTGAGTTAAAATGCAGATTTGGATTCAGTCTGTTTTGCGGCTGTTGCTAGGTTGCCGTTGAGTCGGTTCTGACTCAGAGATCTCGCTTGGGCAGAGTAGAGCTGTGCGCCATGGGGTTTTCAAGGCTGCCACCTTTCAGAAACAGATCTCTAGAGCTGTTTTCTGAGGGCTCCCCAGCTGGGTTCAAAGTGCCAACCTTTAGGCTGATCATCGAGTGCTTGACTCTTTGTACCACCCAGGAATTCCAGGTCTGGGGCTAGAGGTGAGGTTCTGCCTTGTCCCAGGTGATGCTAATACTGCTGATCTACTGGCCATACTTTGATGCAGGGGAGAGAGACAGGAACAGGGCTTCAAAACAGTTCATTCCCCTCTACTGCTCTGTATTTGCATTTCCACCCTAGATATACTGAATCGGAACCTACAGTTACAAGATCGTCAGGTGATTCTTATGTACACCTTATTAAATTACGGATTCAGAGTCTGTCTACTGGGGATGGGAACGCATATTCTCAGCAGAGGGTTGAACTGGAATGAACCAGTTAGAAGCCCCCAGACAGAGAATACAGGGTGTTTCCACACAGTGAGGAAACCCAGTAAACTACCTCTTATCATTCAAGGATTAGCCCCCAGAAAACATAAGGTCATCCTCCTGAGCAACTTTCCTTAACTCTGTTTACCAGAGTCCTCTAGGTTGATTTCTTGGCTTTATTCTTCGCTTGCTTGTTTTTGGTGCTTTGGAAGAGTAAGTAAGCAGCTGAAAGCCATCGAAGTAACTTTAGAACAATTTTGGACTTTGTATTTTAATAACTATTAAGGCAACTGAAGACTAATTGATACAGACCATGTGTCAAATAGCTTAAAAGCAAGCAAACAGCTGCTATGTGTCCAGTCAGGTATAGATAATGCTTTTGACTTTGGGTGAAATTGATGCTTAATGCCATGTGAAAACAGTGTTGACAGCTTTTTAACTGTGTTCTATCCTTGCTTCTCAGGTTTGGGAAGTAGCTGCACCGTACATTGAAAAATACAGAGTGGAGCATATTCCAGAATCAAGACCCATTTCTCCTACAGCCTTTTCACTGGAATCTCTACACAAGAAATCCACCAAACTTTCTGAGTCTGGTGACCTTTAATGGGCTTTGTCCTGGACGTGTAGATCAGATGGCACCTATGGCAATGTTGTGCTGGGGGAGAGCCCTGGGAAACTTCCTAGGTAGATCAATCTATTATATAATCCACTTCTCTTCAAACCTGCATTGTTAATACTATCACAGTTGATAAATCTAGCACTGTGCTATTGTCGGTATGGTTCAAGATGTACCAGGTATTTTCAGATTACAAGAGTTTCTTTCTTAACAATATCAACAGGTCACTAGCTCTTAAAGGTGAGAACAGTTACCACAGGTTGCCTTGGTCTCTTTTCTGCTCTTAGCATTAGATGAATTCAAATCTGGAAACCATTGGACAGCATTAGTTCCCCAATACATTAGACTTTTGTGAACCCTATTTTATTTACTTTGACAAGCTCCCACTAGTTAACTTCTTTCACTGATTATATCATGTCATCATATGACAAATGCCCCTTAATATGCTTTCACAAATAACCATTTTTAAGTCATAATTTCCCCTTAAGCTGTTCTTTCTTCTAGTCATTAAATTATAGTACAGAATAATCAAGAGGTCTTAAGCAATTAACCAATAAGACGTTTTATGTGGAAAGGAGTTAGGAATAAATATAAGGATTGTTATTTGAGTGACCCTTGAACTGTGTAGCTCATATTTTTCAAATATCATTGCACATACCAGAAAAATGACTGATGTTTAAAGTGGAGTTCACAGTTAGTGTCGTCACTTTCTTACCATGTGTTAGTACTCTATTCTCATTCTTAGAACAACCTTAGGTAAGAAGCCTCTCATTTTATAGATAAGAAATCTGATGCTCAGACATTAACCAACCCCCTACCTGTGATGGTAATCATTAAAATGAAGCCCTATTGACAAAGGTCAGGTGTGGGGCCTTCGGATGTGTTACCCAATCTGTTTTCTTTTCCCCCAAGAAGAAGATAAGGACTTCTGGGAAGGCTTAAGTGTAACTCAGTGGGTGAAGGAGGGATCAGAAAGCCTCTTGGCTTCCCAAGGCTAAGATCATGCAACCATGAACAAGGCACCCCATTGCAGGAGGTTGAACCCATAGCTCTGCAAACTGTAGCCAGTCCAAAAAAGGATGACCCACTTGCCAGCTTGCATACCTGATTACAACCTAAAATGGATCCAACAATATATTTCACAATAGAGTTTTCACTCATTAGACTGCAGCACGTCCACAGGAAAGGTGGAGACAGAAGTGAAAAGTGCCTACAGCAATTCAGTCAACAAAAAAATGTGCTGAGGAGCCTGTTTGCCTAAAGGGTGTTCTTAGTGCCATTCTTCACTAAACTGTGAACACACATAAACTCTTTCATTGCACTGATCCATTGAATCCTCTCATCCAATGGCTGCTATTCACTCCAGTTTGGGGAGTGCTGGGCCCCACCAGCCCTCCTAGTCCTCTGGCGCACAGTGACATGCCATCACTGAATTTTCTATATGGCTCTGTTAGTAACTGACATTGCCTTCAAGAGAATTTTAAGGTAAATATGGAATAAATGAAGTCTCAATTGTCTTATGCTGACATTTTATTCCTTGGCTTTTAGAATGAAGAAATTTTAACTCCTTTTTCTCTTTAGGAAAAAGCTATTCTAACTTCAGTTAATTAAGTTGCTGAAAGATTCCATGAACAAATGTTAACACTCGAGACAGGGTCTTTAGAAAAGGAGATTAATTCAGCATATTTTGTTTCTCTTCCCCACTGAGCAGCAGCAAGACAGTTGGAGACAATTCATTTCGGCTCAGGGGGAGGCCTGACTGTTGTTTAGTGTTGTGGAGTCAATTTTGGACTCACTGCAGCCCCACGTGACAAGCAGAACTGCTCCAAAGGATCTTTGGGGTTGTACTCTTCATCAGAGCACACTGCCAGATGTCTCCACTGTGGAGCAGCTGGGTGGTTTGAACTGCTGACCGTAGGATCAGCAGTCGAGTGCTGAATTGTTGCATCACCCGAGCTGCTTTCTAAGGGAAGTCATGTTCCCTTTGCCTAGTGATTCGATGGCAGTGGCTTGCCTAGTGATTAGTTCAAGAAAAGGCTTGGGTTGCAGTTTGGACCACTGAGATGCAAGGAGAGATTTGTTAGCAATTTCTGAAAAAGTGAGAGCCACGGAAGCCAGCCTCACTTCCCCTCCTGTTTCACCTAAATGAGGAGGCAGAGAGCACCTATGGCTATTGATAGCCAGCCAGACCCAAGGCAAATTCAGCTTTAGGATGACGCCAATACTGGGTGCCAGGGCAGAGGGAGGGAGGGAGGGACAGAATCTGGGTCTTCAACATTATTGGGCTGCTGGATAAACCAGTCTTGAAGCCTGTCCGACCTCTGAATTACCAATGATAAGTTAATTGACTTCCTTATTCTTTCAGCCAATTTTAGTCAGGTTTTGATCCTTGAAGCTATTAGTATTCTACGTAACACAGTCACTGTCTTAGTGGCCTAGTTCTGGCATAACAAAAGATCCCACCACAAGAACACAAATATATAGTTTGGGAAGCTAGCAGTCTAAATCAGTGCATTGGCTCTGGGAAGGTCCTGCTTTGTCTCTTTCAGCTTCTAGTAGCTGCTGGCAGCCTTTGGGGTTCCTGGGCTTGTTATACATGCATCCTCACAGGGTATCTGCCTTCCCCTTGTATATATCTCTGTGTCTATTCTGCTCTTTTTATAAAACACCACTTAGAAGTGATTAGTACCACCCTACTTTGGTATCAACTCAACGGTGTCAGGTTTTAAGGAGTTCGATGGTACAGTGGTTAAGCACTTTACTGCTAACCAAAAGGTCAGTGGTTCAAACCCATTAGCCACTCTACTGGAGAAAGCTATGTCAGTCTGCTTCCGTGAAGATTTACAGTCTTAGAAACCCTATGGGACAATTCTATTCTGTCCTGTAGGTCCTATGAATTGGAAGTGACTGGACAGCAGTGGTTTAAAAAACAAAATACTCTGCCTTGGCCTCATTAACACAACAAAAGAAACTCCCTGTTTCAAACTGGATCATATTTACAGGAACAAGCAGTAGGACATCACCATTTCTTTTTGGATGACACAATTTAATCCATAAGAGCTACTATATGTGAAGTGTTGTCCCAGGAGTGTGATGTACCAATAAAACATATAGTTCTGTATTCAGGGACTCACTATCTAGTTGGGGACATAAAATAGTAAGTACAATATCAAACATGTGTCCTAGAGGGAGGCAAAGCAACCATAGCACCTTTGGATCATCAGGGAGGCCTCCTGGAAGACGTGACTGAGCTGGGTTTTGAAGGATGGAAGTCAAAGAGAAAAGTGAGAGAAAGGAGAAATGTAAGCTAAATTCCAATGTCAGGAGATACTCATTCCAAGAAACCACTTCCATGTTAGTCACTTTCAGTGAAAAAAGGGTAACCAAGATGGTCCTGCCCTTGCCCTCACAGCATATAGCCTATGCATTGGGCCAGAGAATTAAACAAACAATAAATAGCAACATGTAGAAGTTAATTTGGGAAGGCTATGAAGTAAGTTGGGGCCAGGTCATGGGGAGTGTGATAACCTATGCTAGTGACAATTGTTATAGTTGCCTTCAAGTCAGCTCCAACTCATGGCGACCTTATGTATGACAGAATGAACCATTGCTCAGTCCTGTGCCATTCTCACAAATAACAGTATGTCCAAGCCCATCGTTGCAGCAGTACAACAGGGAAAGCAAAACTCTCCCAGCACAGAATACCTCTGAGAGCTGGAAGGTGCATGAGCAGGACAGACTGCTGTGGCAGTGTGGTTCAATGGAGGCCTGTGCCATCTGGGTATCTACTACCTGATGCCTGCATTAATGTCACTATCACTTAAAAACATCTTTTGGAGTAATTTTCACCTCTCCAGAGCTTGGCATTGACTTTATCCCTCCACTGGTTACTGTTATAAAGGTCATGATGCTCTTGCTTTGGGGGAAATCTCGCAAAACTAATTTAAATAAGAAATTTACTATATCTCACCAAGAGTGTATCCTTTTAAGAAAATCAGCCCTTAATGCTGTCTGGTCTTGATTCTACTCTTTAATGCCAGTCTTATTGGCCATATTGTATAACAAATTCCCTGAAAGCAGGACCTTACTTGGAACCAGAACTTCAGAGATGGAGAGAATCTTACTTCTACATTTTAGAGAGTTCAAGATGAAATCAAAGCCCAGATGTTAAGTCCCGAATTTGTGTTCCCTTCAGCACAACATGTTGCCTTGGTTAGCTCCTACAGGATTCAGTGTGTACATTCTCAGCTCAAAGAGGGCAGGAAAAATTGGTTGTGGGAAGCAAAAAATCTTAGCTGGTACAATAATTTATGACCCTCCAAAGCTCAACCCTACCCAACAAAATCTAATTCCTTAATATTTCCTTAGTAAAGGGAGAAAATATATTTCATTTCAATTTTAATCAAATTGAGTTAAATTTATATTTTCTCCTAGAGGGAGCAATATTTTTCAAGGTTGAGAAACCTTGATCTAATGCAATTTGGTACACAGAATAGGGATTTTCTCATCTCACTATGCCATTGTGATAACTTTCCCTTTAAAGCATCTGATACTACTCCATTCCACTTCTTTTTTTTTTCCTTTTTTTCTTTTTTTATTTTATTTTATTTTTTTTATTAGGATTTGGGTGAAGATTTACAGAGTAAATTCACTTTTCATACAGCAGTTCACATATACTTTGTCTCATGTCATTGACCAAAATTTACAATGCAGCAGCTCCCCTCCCACTTCCTCCCCATAGTTACCTCCTCCCAGTGTCCATCCCTTCATACTCTTCGAGAGGCCCATTGTCTGCCAACCCTGTATATGATCTTGGATACACTCTCCATTTAGACATACATAATTGTTTAGCTTGTTCACCCATCTATCCGTCCCTATACCCATGTTTGCTTTCATTAACAACTCAGTATTGTATTTACAAAGGGGTTCATATTTGTTGTTTGTACTGCCCATGTAACTCTCTCTGTCTTTCTCATCCTCAATGCTGCCATATTGGTCACTCACATTTGGTACATTGCCCTTCTCTTCACCCAAATCAATATTTATCTCTATCTATCTAACAGCATTCCCTCTCCTTCCCTCCCACCCCTGGTAACCAACAAAGAAAATGTCCTCCAATATATAAACATTTCCTTAACTTTTACAATAACGGACTAATACAATATTTGTCCTTTTGTGACTGACTTATTTCACTCAGCATAATGTCCTCCAAGTTCATCCACGTTATGCGGTGTTTTGCAGATTCTACATTATTCTTTAGCGTTGCATCATTCCACTTCTTTTGAGAACACCTATTCTCTCCACCAAAGGACCTGTTCAATGTTGCAGTTTTCTTGCCAGAGTTCACTCACACAACAAATAGTTGAGTGCCTATTATCTAAAATGGGCAACCTTAGTGGTTCAGTAGTAGAATTCTCACCTTCCATGCAAGAGACCCAGGTTCTATTTACATCAAATACACCTCACGTGCAGCCACTACCTGTCTATCAGTGGAGGTCTACATGTTGCTGTGATACTGAACAGGTTTCAGAGCTTCCAGACCTTAACATGGACCAGGAAGAAAACCTGGCAGTCTCCTTCTGAAAATCAACCAGTGAAAACCCTATTGATCACAACAGTTCAGTCTCCAGCCGATCGTGGTGATGGCACAGGACCAGGCAGTGTTTCGTTCCATTGTATGTGGGGTCACCATGACTCAGAGGCCAAGTGGCAAGCAGCCGACCACAGTACCAGGGTCTGAGAGCGCCAAAGCGGTTTGGAGTGGGTGTCTCCTCTGCTTTCATTCACAGCAGACCTGAACATTACTGTGTAAGAAAATGCATCCTAGAAGGGAAAATAGGATGCACTTCACCTTCTTCCATCCGTGTGATCTGAGTTCCAGAGCAGACTTAACATTTAGTCGGGGCCTTTATATCTATCTCCTGCACCCCAAAATCCCACCATTCATCAGGTAATTGGTCAGAGGGGAGGCATCACGCACAGCAACCTGGACCGCACTCCTCAAGACTCCTGTGCCAAGCACATGAGGGACTGAGCACCAGAGACTTGGTGCTACCAGCAGTGCATGCATGTTACCCTTAACCTTCCAACAAGGGGCATCTTTATTAGACTTATCGTTAAATACAGTAAAGCCTCAATCATTCAAGCTCTATCAATCTGGAATTGGTGATCATTTGGATTGTTTACTTCTCAAACCATTTCTTCATAAATAAAACAAAGTGATTAATGTAGTTGAGATCGCAAAGATAATGATTAAAACAGTTAAAAAAGATTCCAGGTAAACTCACATGACTTTAGAAACACTAATTTATATAAATAATCATATGCTCTTTACAAATAATTTTTTAACTGGTGCATTTCCTAAACAGCTGTAATAGACAATGCTGCTGAGTTCCTTCCTGGGCTGTAAGGAAACAATAGCAACAGCACATATTTATCAAGAGCTGGAATATGAATTTTATGTATTTGTAATATCAAGAATCAGAAACTAAAAAATGATGTCAAAGAAATCACATTACTGATTTGGTCAAGATGCATCCATTTCACAAAGACCCCTGTATTTGTGGATAAAATGACAAGTCTGGAACTCTGCTATGAAGCTTTATTACTAGGGTTGAGAAGTTGGAAAGACACTTTCCCTCAGGGGGATATTTATTCAAAGAACAGAGGGAAGAACAGGAAAAACTATGCCTTTTACATGAGGCTACCACCAGTTTCCAGGAGCTCTGATAGCATAGTGCCTAAGGCACTTGACTGCTAACCATAAGGCTGGAGGTTCAAACCCACCAGCTACTCCTTGGAAGGAAGGTTGGGCAATCTACTTCCGTAGTGGTACTGCCTCAGCAACCCAAGGAGGGGTCACTATGAGTCAGGTCCTACTCGACGGCACATAACAACAACAATCACCAGTTTCCATTAAGTCACTTCTGACGCACGGTGACCCCAAGTGTCAGAGAACTGTGCTCCACGGGGTTTTCAATGGCTGATTTTTCAGAAGTAGAAGCATCTCGGAAGAGGAGCCTCTGGGGGGCCTTGAACCTCCAACCTTTTGGTTAGCAGCTGAGTGTGTTAATCATTTGCATCCCCCATGGACTCCATAGCCTTTTTTAGCTTAATTTTGGGCATATCCCTTGGATTTCCATCCATCCCCCCTAGGGTCGCTAAATGTTTAAACACCAAAATTTGAAAAGTAGAGACAAAAGGAAAATTTCAAACCATGTCTATCTAATTGCCGTCTGCTCTTCCCCACAAAGGCATTTTTGTGATACCTTATCATATTAATCTGCACAATAGTTGTAACAAATCTTTGTGGAGTTAAATGATGTTCTGAAATTATCATCATAGTAAGTGTGCCTGTTTAAATGTTCAGGTGCATATGCTTAGTTATAATGAATTAACCCCTTGGTTTTTTTAGCTGATTAACAAAAAGTAAAAAATATTTAAGTGTGACATAATTCTGGTAAAGCACTATGTGTTTTAACTTTTAATGTAACTGTAATGATTTATTTTATACAGTCTTCTCTTTTCATAGTTAGCATTTTTTATAGATGACTTTCCCTTTAGCTATAACATATTCAATTAGTTCATGATGGCCTCCAAATTGGTAAATCAAATGCTCCCATCTAGAAAGATATAAAAAATATTATATCAATACACAAAAGCTAAAATTATTTATCAATAAATACTAATTTAAAAACACATTCTCCAAAAAGTCATTAATATTTAGACTTTTAAAAGAATATATGTATAATTAACTGATCTATGATAAATGATATTAAATAATGTTTGACTTAAGTATTTTATTTAACAATACTCAGTTCTAAGTACCTTACAAACGGTAACATCAGCATAAGTTTCAACAGAGAGGGTGGTCTAAGACTATGAGGAATAGAGTTATGGAACTGCTCTTATTCTCTGCTGAACATGAAGTCCTAGAGCTGTGCTATGTTCACTACCATCAAGGAGCCATAGGATTTACAGCTTCTAGATTTAGAACAAGGAGCTCTGGTAGCATAGTGGCTACGGCACTGACTGCTAACCAGAAGGCTGGTGGTTCGAATCCACCAACCACTCCTCGGAAGGAAGATGGGGCAATCTACTTCCGTAGTGATACTGCCTCAGAAACCCAAGGAGGGGTCACTATGAGTCGGGGCCGACTCGAAGGCAAACAACAACAACAGATTTAGAACAATTAAGACCCAAATTGTCACACTGGAGGCCCAGGTGGGAGCAGACTGTGGGAAAGTAAAGAGAAAGAATCCAGAACAGGAAAACTGAAGCTAGGTTATTGAGATCCAATAGGTATGCAAAGTCAGAGAGGTTCTGAATCAGAACCAGGGCATTACGCCAGAGTTGGGACATATGTGGCCCGATGCAAGCAGAGGGTCAGAGCCAAATAGGAAAAACAAAAACTCATGCCAGAGGACACAAGTTCAAAGTCCAGGTAAACAGGGCAGGAACCTGGAGAGCTATGAGAGATGTAAGATGGACGAAGAGACCTGAAAACTTGGTCTACCTTACAGTCCTAGTGGGCAACAGTGAAGCTCTCAGCTGCTCACCAGAAGGTTTGAACCCACTAGCAGCCCCTTGGAGGTAAAGACTTGGTGATCTGCCGTAGAGTATAGCCTAGATAACTCTATGGGGCAGTTCTATTCTGTCCTATAGGGTCGTTATGAGTTGGAGTTGACTTGATGACAGACAACAACAACAGGTAGACTTTCTGGTAGAAAGGGGTGAAGGAAAAGGGAGGTCAGGTAGCTTGTGAACCTACACAGAGCCCAACACTCACAGTTGGTAGAAAGAAGATTTAAAGCAAGTTTACGTATTAAAATGGACATAAAATAAAATAGCCAAGATGGGAGACCACTCACCTGGAGGAATTGATGATAATGAAATCTCCCTGTTTACCAACTTCTAGAGATCCATGTGTGTGAGATTTTCCCAGGGCATAAGCTGCATTGATAGTGGCAGCGGCCAAGGCCTCAGGCATGGACATCTTCATGTTGACACAGGCCAAGTGCATTACCATTGGCTAACAGGGGAGGTTGGAGGGAAGGAACAAAATGGTAACTGTTACCAACATAGCACAATGTAGTTAAATATCAGTTAGGTGAAACTGGTTAAATTGGTATGGGAAGATTAAAATTTACACGTAAAGGACCTTATGCTTCAGAAAAAAATTCTTTTATTATAGAGATTGTTGTTGTTGGTAGCTGCCTTTGAGTAACATGACTCATGGCAAATCAGCGGACAACGGAATATAACTGCCCAGTCCTTTGCCATCCCCATGATTGCTTGTGGAATGGACTATTGTGATCTGTTGGGTTTTCAGTGACTTATTTTTGGAGGCAGATCACCAGGTCTTTCTTCCTGACCATCTTAGTCTGGAAGCTCCACTAACACCTATTCAGCATCATAGTATCATCAAGCTTCCATTGACCAATGGGGGGTTGTGTGCATGAGGTACATTGGCTGGGAATCAAAGCTGTGTCTCTGGCATGGAGTGCAAGAACTCTACCACTGAGCCACAAAGCCTCATACTACAGAGATGACCTCTGGGGTATTTAATATATGCTTATAACTTTTCAATGCTTTGCCCTGGGAGGAAGATGAGGCAATCACCTCCACCCTTACTTCCTAAAACTTCTTTGAGCCTCCAGACTTTTTTTCCCTCTGAGAAGACAAATGGGTTACTGTAAAACTAAAATGCTTGAGGCTGAAATCAGAAAATAATGCAAATAGGACCTTCTCTCTCTGCCTGGAGCTATTCATGTAGAACAGAAATATTCAATCACACTGCTGTCTACACCTTTTATTTCTTGTTTCACAGGAAAATATTTTTAGATATTTTATACCTTTTTAACAGTTAATGAAATATTTTAAAATTAGCTAAATGTCTGGTAGAAATTTCATATTCTGCTCAAAAAGACACATTAAAAAGAATTACCATTGAAAAGCAATATGCATTAGGGTTGAAATCACTTCCTAGAGCAACTATTACTCCTTCATCTAACATCTTCCTGGCTCGAGGCTGCTTCAGTCTAAGAGGAAGAAAAAAAAAATATATATG